TGAACATGAGTCATGTTTTTCCTTTACAAAAATTAACCATGCTTTTATTATAGTAAAAGTACTGTAACCATGTTTTTTTTTTGGCAAATGGATTACCATTTGTATTTATTTTTACTAGAAATTTCATGGTTAAACTATGGTTAGTGTAGCAAAAACCATGGTTAATTTGTGGTTACCATGGTTTAACAATAATTTATAGTAAAATCATAGTTAATTTTCATAAGGGTTGTGTTGTTGTCTGCCCTAGCTCCCTCTAAACCTATTCATAAAATATGATTATTTGTCTGCTAAATTACTACTGTAACAGTAGTTACAATAGATAATGATGTCCTTTATACAGTATTTTGAGTGATGACTGACGAGCAATGGGCTGCTGCTGCTTAAGTAAACAAAGACAAAACTACAATAGCATATTTACAGATGAAACTGACCCTGAACAGTAGTTTTGCTTCTCTGCTCCACCTGTGCGCTTCCACAGTCCTCTCCATTCTCTCTCTCTCGCATTGATTACTCTGATCCAAACCCTTTTGGCGTAGAGCGCGCAAGCCGAAGCCAGTCACGACTAACCGATTCATGATTTATTAGAGATTTAATGAAGTGAAGTGACCAAGTAAGTATTAAGTATTTATTTTCCCAAACCATTGTTAGATGCAGTGTTTCCTGTAGTTATGCAAAGATTTGGTTTCAAAAACAGTATCAGCAAACTATTACTTATGATTTTAAATCTGCATTTAAAAGGCGGTACTAAAGTCTGATTTTGTGGTGGATGTGTTCAAAGTTGATCATCTTAATTCAAGTGAGGAAGGATTTTGAAAGTCTGGCAGTGTTGAGCACTGCTGTAAGGCTAACCCTGCATGGTGTAAATGTTTGAAAATGATTAACAGTTGCAAATAAACATTAGAAATTTAGAAAAGTAATCAGTTACATTACTTTAATAAAGTAATTGAAAAAGTTACACTACTATTACATTTTAAATAGGGTAACTTGTAATCTGTTGCGACACACCAGAAGGGTTTGGATCCATTTGCAGTTTATTAAGAATAGTCAGACAATACAGGGTCGTGAATCGTGAACCAGGCGAGAGATCGGGGCAGGCGGCTAGTGAACAGAGTCCAGGTGAAACAATCCAAGTCGGGGCAGGCAGATAACAATCAGAGAATCAGGAAACAGTCCAAGATCAGAAAACAAACACAGGTATAACGCTCGGAAATGACAGCCGGGGCAAATCAAAACTTCGCAAGGAGTTCGTGAAATGGTGTGGCTTATATGTGTGTGTGTAAATGAGATGCAGGTGTGATTGTGTAATCAGGCCCAGGTAAGAGGGATGATGGGAAATGGAGTCCGAATGGAAGATCGCTAATACTCTGGGGACAGTTCCCTCTGGTGGTGCGGAGGAGGCGGTATGGGAGCCTCCTCTGTAACATAATCTGTAACCTATTACATTTACAAAGTAACCTTCCCAACACTGATTGTCAAAAATTGTCTCCCCAAAACATTAAATAACAATTAATAATAATAACTAAAAAAAAGTCAAAATTTTCAGAAAGCAAGTGTCTGATTAGAAAACAGCAATACAAAGTTTCAAGAATTTGCCATATTGAAATCACAATACTTCAATTTTGTATGACTGTAATACAGTAGATGACCGTTTGGTGCAGTTTTAGACACTGTAAAGAACCCCTTTCCTGTTGAAAACACAATTGCAAGTCTCTAGTATGTTTGTGTTTGTGTCACTGAAACATTAATTACTGTGAATCTGTTTTCTTACAGGACAATGATGTCAATAACTCACCCACTGAATCGGAAAGACTTTCCTTTAAGGGACATGTGACGTCCTTAAACCAGACTCAGGCTGAGGCTGCCAATAAAACAGTGTAATATCATTTATAATTTTGATACTTTCATTAAAAGGGACACTAAAGAGAATCAGGAAATGATGAAGAGAAGAGGATCAGCTGAAACTCTATTCAGAGTAATTGTGTCATGAGTCTAGTATTTCAATTTCAGATTTAACTACTAATTTTTTAGAACTTTTTCTATGTGAATGAATTTCTATGTGAATTTCTAAATGAATTAAAACATTTAGCCTTAAACAGTATATGAGCAAAGCAACACGTCACTAGCAATAGTTCAGCAAGTGCTTGATGTTTTTTAATATATGCATTTATCAAAGCTGGTAAAGTGACCTAGACAGGAATAGTGAGTGATTATCTTTTTTTATATATATATTTTGCACAAAGACATATTAATTCTAATCCATTATGACGTAAGTTATTACTTACATTATCCTCTTATAACTGATACATTTCCACAATTAACTCACCAAGACGAGCATTATGACCAAGATTTTACTTCGCTAATACTCTGGGGACAGTTCCCTCTGGTGGTGCGGAGGAGGCGGTATGGGAGCCTCCTCTGTAACATAATCTGTAACCTATTACATTTACAAAGTAACCTTCCCAACACTGATTGTCAAAAATTGTCTCCCCAAAACATTAAATAACAATTAATAATAATAACTAAAAAAAAGTCAAAATTTTCAGAAAGCAAGTGTCTGATTAGAAAACAGCAATACAAAGTTTCAAGAATTTGCCATATTGAAATCACAATACTTCAATTTTGTATGACTGTAATACAGTAGATGACCGTTTGGTGCAGTTTTAGACACTGTAAAGAACCCCTTTCCTGTTGAAAACACAATTGCAAGTCTCTAGTATGTTTGTGTTTGTGTCACTGAAACATTAATTACTGTGAATCTGTTTTCTTACAGGACAATGATGTCAATAACTCACCCACTGAATCGGAAAGACTTTCCTTTAAGGGACATGTGACGTCCTTAAACCAGACTCAGGCTGAGGCTGCCAATAAAACAGTGTAATATCATTTATAATTTTGATACTTTCATTAAAAGGGACACTAAAGAGAATCAGGAAATGATGAAGAGAAGAGGATCAGCTGAAACTCTATTCAGAGTAATTGTGTCATGAGTCTAGTATTTCAATTTCAGATTTAACTACTAATTTTTTAGAACTTTTTCTATGTGAATGAATTTCTATGTGAATTTCTAAATGAATTAAAACATTTAGCCTTAAACAGTATATGAGCAAAGCAACACGTCACTAGCAATAGTTCAGCAAGTGCTTGATGTTTTTTAATATATGCATTTATCAAAGCTGGTAAAGTGACCTAGACAGGAATAGTGAGTGATTATCTTTTTTTATATATATATTTTGCACAAAGACATATTAATTCTAATCCATTATGACGTAAGTTATTACTTACATTATCCTCTTATAACTGATACATTTCCACAATTAACTCACCAAGACGAGCATTATGACCAAGATTTTACTCCTCACACACAGTCTCATACTGGAGGACTAAAGTGCTCTTCACAGTCTGTACTACTGATACTCTACACTGTAAAAAATACGTGTAATTTTAACTGTACAATTTTGTAAAAACGCTACGAAAAAAAAAACTGTTAATAGGTTAACAGTAAGTTCCCGTACTATACACAGGGAAAAACTGTAAAATATCTAACCAGACATTTCATGTAATTTTACAGTAAAATGCTGTTAATTTGACAGTTTTTAGAAGTAAAAATAACAAATCAATGTATAATTTACAGTCAAAAAGTGTAAACTGATATTCCCAGAATTCCCTGCATGACACGCCACATTTGAAAGTATTTTGTTTTAAATAATCTTTTTTTTTAATAGTTTTTGTTATTAGTTATGAATATTTGGGCTTTATGTTACATCTTCTGTTGTTTAATGAAAGTGTAATGCATTATTTAAGTATCATGTGTGTTACCATGATGGTGTTTTGTGTTTGCATGAATGACTCTGTGCACCTTCTATATATTAGTATATACTTCTGCTTGTGGCGAAGCTCGCTTTGATTTTTCATGTGGCTTTCTCTTTTACCACCTGCATTATTATGGTGGTTGTCAGTATGTTAAAGGTACAAAACAGATTTTAATAGCAGAGTGCATTGTTGAATTTACTGGTTTACATTCAAATTTTCTTGTTTGTAAATTACAGTTTTATACTGTAAAATTTACAGGTTTTGGCCGTAAATGTGTTTACAGTTTTTCTGTATTTTTTACAAAATTATTCTGGCAACCACAGCTGCCAAAATTATTTTATAAAAACTACAGAATTTGTTTTACAGTGTACATGGTTCTATTTGTTTTGAATGAAATCATTATGTTTCTAAGCTACTAACACTAACCCTGGCTGGACCAACTATGAACAGCATGGCTTTTTATATGCGTTTGTTCAGTGGCTTTAACTGGATGCATAAATTGTCAATACTGTGTAAATGTTGTTTGTCTGGTGTTATGTGATGATGTTCTTTCTTTCTTTCTTTCTTTCTTTTGTTTTTATATATCATGATGTTTCTTTAAACAAGAAAAGTCATTTAAGTGTCATATAGTTAATATGTGCTGATCTCTTCATAAAAGTAAGTATTTTATTGATCTTTTTTTACCATAAATCAATAATCACCAATGTGTGTTTTGTCCGACGTTAAAGGTAGTAAGCTGTTATTATTGTGTTACTTGAAATATTTTTTTAGACATTTTCTTTTAAGTTTTCCTTAACCATCAGCCAAAGGAAAAAGTGCCTTGAAGTAAAATCCACATAAACACTATTTTAGTTTCTGAAACAAGGAAAGTAGCCTGAAATATCTTTGTATGTTTATGTGACAGATATGATTAAAAACATATGATTCGAAACGCCACACGCTGGTCATAAGTGCAGTGAAAACAGGCCAAACATCGTACAAAAACACCTTTTGCAAACCAGCTGCAAACATTGTATTGAATTATAACTATTAAATAGCTGCTTCTTTTTCTTTCTTCACTTTTGTTGTTTTTGACCAAAGAAACGGACAATAAATGGATTGGAACTTTATTTTCAAAGGTATTGCATTTTATTTTCAGTCTGTTCAGGAAACAAATTCAATTCCAGTTATCTAAAAATAAGACAAACTCACGCCTACACACATTTTTTTGGGGACATTTTCATGCACACCATCCGTCTTTGATTTCTGAAAGAAAACAAACTCGATCAGGAACCTGCTAATGTGACAGTTTAGAAACTAATAATATAATTTTGTTATTCACTCAAAGTGGGAATTAACTGTAGACTAATTCCTCTATGTTGAACAGAAAAAAAACTTATTTAACTGAATGTATCTTGATTATTTCACAGTGTAGAACTGTAGCATCAACAAAGAAGCAGAGCAGCTAGAGGAAGTGACATCATACGTCACATGACTTTTTAAACAGCAAACAGATATGCACAGCTGTGAGGGTTTGAAGTAAAAGCTTAACAGATTTCAAGCTTTAGAAAAGAAGAGGAGCCGAAATATTTAATAATTTCTTTACCAGTTCAGCAGCTGCTAGGCTATTATAAGTTTTGTTTTGTTACGACAGCCTTTGTATTGAGAACGGTGTCCATTTACACACCAGCAACTACAAAGACATTTGAATGTTAAAATAGGGGTCTCCTGGAAAAAAGGTCGGGAACCTCTGTACAACACCACTCTATGGCAGCAGTCTATAATGATACACCAGATGCAACATTACTTTTCATAGCACAGGTTGAGCTTGATAGAGCAAGACACACTATGGTTTTAACATTTTGTAAGTTTTTTATTATCTGATTTGATGTTTAGACTAGGTTCCCAGGGTGTATCAAATGCCAGCTTTGCCCATTGTTAAAGCACTTGTGTAAATTTCCAAGCTTGGAAAATTATTTTCTGTGGTAAATAAAAGAGTGCAATTAGAGAAAGAGGAGCAAAACCGTGCACCGGACGAAACTAAGCGATTGTTGCAAATCAGCTATAGTCAGACTAACTGACTGCAACGGTTACAGTCACGAATGATCTTACCGTTTTTTGTATTGTTGGTTTACAAATTTCAGCTGAATCAGTTCTGTCTTCTTCCTGTGTCGTGCCTACATTAACAATAATTCAGATGAGTAAAAGACATCTGAGCTTGCATATGTAGAATTATGCATATCTGGTTCAAATGTATTAATTGTATTTGATATTTGTAGTTAACAATTGAATTCCTGACCTCTTTTTCCACATTTCTTGCAGATGCAGCAGATCACGACTGAAGCTGCAATCAACAGAAATCCAGCAGCAGAAATCAGCACTATCAGTGAGACTGAAGGAGAGTGTGAAGGTGGTTCTGTAAGAGAGAGACCGGCATTAGTGAGAGGAATGTGTCAGTTTACAACAAAAGAGATCAGCTCAGGAAATAAACACACAGCGCTGCTGTACCTGCATATGTGTGACAGAGTTCAATGTGTTGAGTGTTTAGTGTGATGATGAGCAGTGATTGTGTCTGTCATCTCAGACTATAACATAATTAGGGATTTCATTAGGTAATAAAATAAGGCACTCTAAGTTAATTTGCCTTGGGGAAACTAGCATGTCTCCGACTTAGTGATGACACTCGTTGCCTTATCTAGTGCAGCTCAACCAGGTCTCGTCCCATTCGTCGATATTTGTAATATCACAAATCCCGGAAAATATGCGTTGTAGTCCAAACAAGTCCTTCGTTGTAGGTTTTGAAAAGTGATATCTGTTAAATAAAATATCTCCTTTTGAAGTGGACTTTGAGCTTTGTAACTTTGCAGATCTGTTTTATGCTCAAACAGCAACATTACAGACTAACTAAAGTTGAAAAAGTGAAAAAGCATAATAGGACCCCTTTAAGTTGTTGAAGATCATTCATGAGACTCATGTGTGTTTGTCGGTTGAGTGAATGTGTGAATCACTTCTTCTGCTGTTTGTTTGCTTGCGTTACATTAACAGACTGCAGCTGGATCATCAGACTTGATCTCTGACCCTCACACCAAACACCAGAACCACAGACTCTGGACTTGATCATCTACAGATCATCAACAGCAGAATCATAAAGAGCTTCAGTTTCACTGTCGTTATGAAGTATAATTTACTAATTTAGTGCATTTTCCTTTTAGGAATGTTAAAACACAGTTTCAATCTGGATTAATGCTGTTTTTGCCAAAATTGGTTTTGAAACCATTTTCAGTTAGAAACTGCTAGCAAATTTCACAAATAATTAGCAAGTAACACATTGAATCAGATGTGAAATTTTGAAGTAGAATGGCTGATATAGTAGCATATTTTCAGTCACATTCTGATTGGTCATAGTCAGAATACTGGCAGAATAGTCTGTTTCCGGTTGAGCTCACAGTGCTGATGCTGTTTAACTGCAGTTCTTCAAAAACACACCAGATGGCTCCATTTATCAGTTCAATCAATATCATACAACTGACGATCAATGTAGAAATGTGTAAATATCAAAGGATTCAAATGTTTCAGTCAGTTTCAAGGTAGCCGACTGGTCTAATTAAGCACATAATTGCTACAATGCAAAATAATAAGCCTAATAAGGGATAGCAAAAATCAATTTTCGAGCTTCACCTATCACTACCCTTAGTATGCTACCATCAACAGAAATCAGCACTATCAGTGAGACTGAAGGAGAGTGTGAAAGTGGTTCTGCAGTGGCTAGAGAGACCAGCATTAGTGTGAGGAATATCACTTTACAACAAAAGAGATCAGCTCAGGAAATAAACACACAGCGCTGCTGTACCTGCATATGTGTGACAGAGTTCAATGTGTTGAGTGTTTAGTGTGATGATGAGCAGTGATTGTGTCTGTCATCTCAGACTATAACATAATTAGGGATTGTTTCTAAGCCACCCACGTCTGTTCACTGACCGTCTGATGTTGCAAACTTCAATCAGCAAACATCAATCACACTAACTGACTGCAACAACTTGCAACATCTCACCTTTTGTCGTGTTTTTGGTTTGCACAATGCTGAATCACTTCTGTCTTCCTTCTGTATCTGGACTGCATAAATGATAACCACAGATGTGTTAAGTTTTCAACAACTGTGTCTTCAAAAGATAAATACTACTACAGAATAACTGCTTGCTCTCCTGACCATTTTTTCGACATTTCTTGCAAGTCCAGAAGATCCTAATGACTGCAGCTACAATCAACAGAAAACTAGACGCAGCCGCAGAGATCAGCACTATGAGAAATAAAGGTAGCCCTTCACCTGAAAGGGACAAAATGAGCCAATAGTGTGAGTGAATCGGTCCATCAAACATCAACACTGTATAGCTGAGAGTAAATCAATATTAATATCACCATACCTGCACATGTGTGACAGAGTTGTCTGATGTCCAGATGTTGAGTCTGGTTGCTGATGGGATTGTTGAGCACACAGCTGTAGCTGTTTTTATCCTGATATTCCACCTCCAGAGGTAGAGAGAGACTGATGCTGAGATCAGACACACTGATGCTGGACAATAAACTGTTTCCTTTGTACCAGGAGAGAGTCACATGACTCACATTCACCATTGAACACAACAATGAACAATTCTGCTGTGATGATGATGATGAAGAACAGTTTGAAGAGTTACTGCTGATGACAGGAACAGGCAGACAAGCTGAAAACATGAGAATAAAGAGAAATATGGATACATCTAATGCACAATATTATTTTCGGTGTAGTGTGTTGACAGTCAGTGAGTGTTTCCATCATCTCAAAATATAAAATGATTAAACATTTCATGATGTAATATTCAGAGTTCAGTACAAATTAAGCTCAGTCAGCAGCATTTATGGTGCATGATGTTGATGACCACAAAAAAATTATTACAGTGCACATTAATCTTTGTCTCATCATTTCAAAGTCTAGGGTTCCAGTAATCTTTGACTTTGTTAACATGAGCACCGGCAAATTCTAGACGGGCGTTTTTTGTGCATGGGCTGCAGCTGTGGCTTCGTTCGTGGACGACACCATGCATGCCAGTCCTCTGCAGTGTACGTTGTATGGTGTCACGGGAAACATTTTAATGATTTAGCCAACTGTACTGAACGTGCATGGCAACTTTTCAGCTTTTCTCGTCACAAAATGCTCTTGACGAGGTGTTAACTTCCATGGACGGCCTGGATGTCTCAGCGAGCTTCCCACAAGTCCATCCTTTTTGAATTTGAAATAATTTTGTGACATTTCTTTTCCATGTGGTGCCATTTTGTTGACATTATATGAGAGTGGATTTAAATACCACTCTTAATTGTCAATTATTCTGTGGCCACCTGTGTGATGATTGATTAGACTCATCTGCTGGCTAATTCATGTTAATTACAATTGTATTTTATGTTTTCTCCTAAAACATTCATTGGGGTGTACTAATTTTTGCACCATGATCTTAAATGATTTTATTCGAGTAGTTCCAGTTTTGCCTTTGCTACTGACTAATCTCATTTAAAACCAGTTAACCAGATTTGCACAAATATTTCATTGTATAGGATCCCATAGAAAGTATGAATTTAAAAGCGATATGGATATTTTTCTGAGAAATCTGTTGGGGTGTACACATTCATGCTGTGCACTGTATGTCTCGCCGCTTGTTTTCTTTAAAAAAAAAAAAGAATGTATGTTACAGTGAAGTGCTTAAAATGGGTCTCAATGGGGTCAATCTGTAAACACTAAAATACTGTTTAGGTACTGTGTAAAGTTAAAGTCTTATTTATTAACTTTGTCACTTGATTACACAACAGCGTAAATACTCGGAAACATTTAATTATGATTTAAACAGGTCAAATAATATACGAGTCTTGGCAAAATAATTAATGTCATTTTTTAAATCAAATTATAAGCTTCACATTTCTACTTTTATATCTTCAAATAATTGACCTCACTGACTTCCATTAAGCGCCTTGCCGTAATCTTGATTTTTATTTATTTTTCTTGATGAGTCAAGATAATTTTTCTGGTAATCAAAGACTTTTTTTTTGGACAAATGTTCTCTACTCACCATAGACAGAAACATTGAATGATTTTGATGTTGTTCTCGCTTCAGTTATCTCTAGTTGATAAACTCCAGCATGTTGAGTTGTGATGTTTGTGATGATCAGAGATCCAGTTTGTTTGTCCAGCTTCAGTCTGTCTTTGAATCTCCCATCAGTACCGTCATATGTGAAGAACAATTCATACTTTCTATTGATTTCAGCTATAGTGTACTTTTCAGCTCCATATTTCCACAGCATACTTTTGTTTTTCTGTATTTCAGGAACATCAATGTATAAAGTGACAGAATCTCCCTCCATCACTGGCACTGATTGCATTTCATTTGTTTCAGCACCAAACACACCTGAAGAACAGATTTGACATATTTTAATGTTGTTTGTTTAGAAAGCCCGAAATCAGTTTGTAACCTTTAACAGCAGCAAAGACAGCAAAACAAAAAGTGACAAAAGGTATATGAAAAGGCTTATGTGTGTGAATAAATAATTTTATTTTTAATATACTTTTTTTCTGCTTGTAGAGAAAAATAAATATGTCAAGTTGCACACAAGATAAATACAGAAAATACAGTAGTTTCAAATTTAATTAATTATAACAGACTTACGGAGAAGAGACTTGAATCTAAAGTAGATATCATTATAATATCTGTGAATTTGCAAATGCAAATCCTCTAATTAATTTGAACAGTAGCGGCATCTTTTTTCTCTGAAACAGAAATAAATGAAGCAGTAAACAATGTATTTCTAACTTACCAATCAGACAACACAAACAGAACAAAACAAGCGTGTGAAACATTTTCTTTAGCAGTTCAGCGTAAACTCTGATCCGACAGAGTTTGACCACCCTAATAGTTCACAGGCACATGTGTGTGTGGGTGGGTGGGTGGGTGGGTTGTTCTGGCTCTGAAAACTGGAAAGCACTTAAAAAATATTTCTGAAAGGTTGATTTTGACTGTCAAATATGAAAAAAAATGTAGAAGAGTGGAAAATTGGATTAGTCAACCAAAATTTAATAATAATTATATAGCCAGTCTTACTGAAGTGCGACACGAGCAGCTCCGTTTCTGGGTCAAACTGAAACCTGCTGTGGTCTGTTTTCTTCAAAAGTCTGATGATCTGTTTGGTGGACAACTAGCTTGTGCATGAGAACGGCCATTTGTTTGATGTATGTTTAGTTTGTAGGTGAAGAGCTTCTTCCTGTCCTGCTGTCATGAACCTCACAGTCTGACCTCCCACCTATACAGAATGCAATGTAATTCTATCATTTAGTTATGATTCTAAATGTATTGTAATTTGGTAGAGATGTTTAATATATTATTACTTAAGTGCTATAAAAGATGTGATGAATAAGGCCCTGATCAGACAGAACGTGCAACCTCAAACTTCCGCCACCACACCATTCATTTGATTGAATAATGGAAAAAAACGAGTTCTGCTCAGAGTTGTTGTTGTTTTTTTTTTACTTCAGGTGCTCAGAGCGCTCCTACAAAAATGCAAGGCGCAGCAGGCAGCTAAAACGCGAGGTGCCCGAGACGCATAAACATTGCGCAAAAGGCTCACTGCCAATAGAAAATAGTTTTTAAAAGCGCCTCTCAATGCAAAAAAATGTGTTCTGTGTGATCGGGGGCTAACACAAGATTTGATTCATTTAGTGATCCTTTCTGCAGGTTACAAAGTTACACCAGTAGGTGGCGACAAGTGAGCATCTTATGTGAATCAATACTCCGTTCCAAATGGAAAAATAAGCCCTTGTGATCTTTTCTGGTGCTGCATTTAATTCCAGTTCCTCACTTCCCTCTGTCTAATTCACTTACATTGCGTGAGCGCCCACTACTGGCAGAACCCTTGCAATGGGATTAAATGGAACGCCCTAAAGTGTATGTCTCCAAAACACTGATGTACTAAAAAGTTTGTGTTTTTGAACTTTTGCGTATAGGTAACAAAGTTGTCAAAACAATACCCGTTTAAATTGTATTCTGTATTCTGCTGCTAGGCCAGTAGATGTAAAGAAATACTACACGCCTATAGACTGAACAGGCAATACACGTGTATGATGTCATGGTTTTCACAAATTTGCATTTTAGTAGTTTACAAAGAGACAATAATGGTATCACTTTTAAAAACTTGCACTCTGAAATCTGTTTTCATTTTCAGGCCTCCAAAATGTCACTTTTGTGTAAATTAATGGCCAAAATGCATAAAAAGTTTTTCATTTTTAGTTTAAAACTGTCATGTAAAAGGCCTCCAAGCCCTTGATCACTTAAGTTTGGCCACGCAAACTTTTGTAACCAAAAATGACCAATGGAGCACTACGCTCCTGTGGACTTTGAGTCCTCGGCAGAGCACATCTCTAATGATGATCAAAATTTAAATTATTGCTTTTGTTTTTCACTTTTCAATTGCTTACCCACCTGCCATGACATCTGTCCATATCTATCTTAATATTTAAAAAAAAAATTGTGTTGAAGTTGGTTATTCAGAATAATTTACTTGTCTGGTGCTGAGGAAAGGCAAGATATGTCAGCATATATATTGTGAATACAGTTATTGCATTCAAAGTGGCAAACAAAAAACGAGTAAAAAATGAAAGTATGTTTTGAACCTATTTAAAAAGGAATAACTTCCCTCAGAGGTTTGGTAGGAGCTTTCATCTCTGGGTATATCTAACCACATAATATCTACATAATATCACACATGCAGTTCATAGAGGAAATAATGTCTGTTAGCCACACAATACAGCTTGAAATAATATTTTAACCTATGATATTTTACATAGACTACATAGTTGCAGTAGTATAGCTCTAGTATTTTATCGTGAGAAACAGTAGCCAAACCCAGACTACTATGTGGTTTGTGTCCTTGACACTGACAGGTACCTTGGTTCGTAAATCGTAAGACGTGAAATCATTTGACAAATATCGGTATTCAGTGTCCTGGACATAGCCACAATGTAGCCTACAAAATGTTATACACCAAGAGAGTTGTATGCCTTCAGCTTTTCTTGCATGCTGGGGTTTTCCAAAAGGTATAAGAAGATGTCACTGTAATTTTGGCCATTTAGTTGGATGAGGCATTTACGCAGCGCAAGTCGTCTATATCGGATGTCTCTGGGCCAAAAGCAGCTGCATCAATGTGAAAGTTTGACACAAAAATGAAAACATCAGCAAACACTGGTTTACCCCTCCATGTTTACAAACACAACACCCAGAGGCACAGCTGTTAGGTCATTTCTGGTTAATGATGTCACAAAATTTACCAGTATTTTGAAACCGATGTGTGAATGGTGCTTTACCGGTAAAAAAAGAAGGAACGTAGTTAGCCGTGTGAACAGCGCATTTTTGTATTTACCGGTAAAGTCGTTCCGGTTATTTTACGGCAATTTACTTGTATTACTGTGTGAAAGGGGCAAAACCGTCTTCTGCTGGCAAAGCATAAAAAATTGGAGAAGGCATTCGGATGATCAATGTTGTAAATAATGAGATCTCATGCAGTCCCATAGGGCTGCTTCTGTAGAGCTTTCACTTTCTACCAAACCCCGTCCACGAAATGCTTCATTTGTTTATATAGCCAAGAGATGGCATCAGCACTGAAACAGACTTTTGTTTCCACAGAATCGGCATTCGTTTTTCAAAGAAACTGTGATGAACCTCTTAGTTTTCGCCCCAGCGTGGGCTTTCCAGCTTGGTAAGTCTATTTGTTTTTGCTGAACGAGAATGTGCTTGATATTAAAAAGAGTTATTAACATTGTAACAAGAAAGGGATAAATCGCTCTTTCTCAGGCGGCTGTCTGTGCGCGAGCCCGAGCGTCAAAAACACACATTCAGGCATCCGTAACACAGTCTTAAGTGAATGTAAGTTTAATTCATTTTCGGTGTTAAAATACTTTTTTCTATACACTTATTTTGCAGAGATAATAAGGCGTTCATTCGCTAATTTCCTCAAAAACTGTAAACACATCTCCGTTGCGCTTCATGATTTGTTTTGAGCAACGACTGCCGTCGAAACACTGACACTAGGGCTGTGTTCCAGTTCACTTTTAGACATGCACTGCGAACGTCCCTAAGCACTTATGGTGCGTTCAAGTCATGTCGGATAGACCGTATTTACGAGTTGAACGCACATGAACGCCACCACAAAGTCGTTATTATATGGAAGCCTGTTTCCGCCACAGTTGAGAACAAATATAATTCTGTAAGTCATAATGAGAAACTTTCACAAAATGATGACTTAGTATCTCGTTATATTGAGAAACTTTCTCGTAATAATGACTTATTTTCTCATAATAATGACTTTTCTCATAATAATGAGAAACTTTTTCGAAATAATGACTTATTTTCTCATAATAATGACTGGTTTTCTCATAATATTGAGAAACTTTCTCATAATAATGACTTATTT